TTATTGAGCTAGAAGAACATTAGTCTCTTGCTGGCCTTGACATTTTGTGGTTCCATGAATGTAGGATGACTGCACACTGGGTACAACAGCTAAGCCCTGTGCCTTTCAGTCGACTAATCCTTCCCTTTCAATTCATGCTGGCTGAGTCTCCGCATCAGCGAGCAGCTGAGCAGCATCACTGTGGGCTCCTGTGCCACACTGGGCACCGGCCTTTTCTGCTTGTCATCACTTCCTTCTGCTGTCTCTGACTAGCAGTGTGATCATTGGTTGTGGTGACGGGTGCCTCAGCTGAAAGGCAGCTGTGCTCATTTACTTAGGAAAACCTCTCTTTGGCTGTACGTGTATTTGAATTTCTAATCTCAAGTCTCAGCCCATTTTCGGAATCTCTGCGTGCATCACCCTGTCCTTTCTTTAATAGTGGATTGTAACCTTTATCTGAAGAGAATGATTTTTTAAAACATAGATGGAAAGGATAGCAAACGTATGACTTGGTCTTTACTAAGATGGGCCTAACAGGTTAAAGGAGTAGTGAGAGACAGAGCACGTAGAAAAGATACAAGAATCAGAATCAAGAAAAGACAGTGGTAGCCGGGTGTGGTGACGCACGCCTGTAATCCCAGCACTCGGGAGGCTGAGGCAGGAGGATCGCTGTGAGTTCGAGACCAGCTTGGACTATGTAGTGAGTTCCAGGTCAGTCTCAACTGCATAGTGAGACCCTGTCTTAAAAAAAGAAAGAAAGAAAGCAAGAAAAGACAGTGGGACAGTGGTATATAAGAAACTATTACTTTTGGTGAAGAAATTATTAATCCTACCATATTTGTTTAGTAGATCAATGACATGTTTCAGGTATTTTTAATATCCTAGGAATTTTTCTAGGCATTTTGCCATATTATTTCATTTGCTAGAAAAACCCAAGTAGATAGGCATCATTATGATTTCTTTCTACAGATAAATAAATCAGAATTAGAAGGATAGAAAAATTTGTCTCAAATCCCAAGGCCATTGAATAGTAAACAGGAATTTGAACTGATGAAATGGGGCTTCAAGAGTCCATGGGATTAGGTAAAACTTTTATTGCTTTCCAAATATCGAGGCAACTTGATTTGCCAAATGATTACCCCATAAGAAAGGTTTAATAATTGACTTATGATCACACTGATTGTGAGTGGTAGAATCAGAATTTGGCACCCATGTGACTCCAAACATCAGGATCCTTCTTATATAATTGTACTTTGAAATGAAAGTGTAGCTAGGGTTGGTAACTAGCTGACTTTAAGGTGCTCTCGAGGTGTCATCAGAATGTAGGTAATTTGTTATTAAGGAAAATTATTAATATAATTAGGCTAGGAAATTAAGTGACAAAGGACAGTATTATGACAAAATACTTAAGAAGCATGTACTATATCTGCTAGTACTAATATCTTCAGGGAATTAAAAAATTTTTTTTTACAATTGTCTATGAGAAAACAGACATGTTTTCAGGTTACATAAATATTCTTACCTGGTTTATCACAAGGATGGCAATCGGTAATTGAATATTGAGATGAAGTCTTTTCTTTAAAACCACCAGCCACCTTTTGACTGATTATTGTCAGCTCAACAACTCAAGTTTTGTGTGTTTCCTGTGTTTCTCTTACAGGCCAAGGAAGTTTGGCTGAACTGAAAGAACACAGAACATGCTGATAAGTGGCTTCCCATTGCTAAGCAATAGCAAGGCAGAAAGAAACAATGTTATCCAAGTGCAAAGCATGATTGTTCATTGATTGTTGGATCATGGGGAGAAGTGTTATAAAAGACATTTAGTGAGAAAATTGTATATAGATTAGCTATTTGGGCTAGTATCTTTTGTCAGTGTTAGATTTCCTGCATTAGATCATTCCTCTGTACTTTGCAAAAAAAAAATGATATTATTTCAAGGAAACTATATTTTAAAGTATTTTGCACTAAAAGGAAATATTTAAAAGGAAAAAAAGGAATCCATATAAATAATAGGAGTGATAAATGAGGAAAGTAATAAAAATGAGTCAATAAAATTTAATGTTTCTTGTATGATTATCACATCTTCTTTAAAAGTTTGAAATTATTTTAAAATGTAAAATTTTAAAAATCCATTTCCACCATAGATCAGTTTTGTGCCTTAATATTTAGTTCCTTTTTCTAGGGCAGGAGACTCTTTAAATTAAAGACCTAATGAAAAGTAGACAAATTAGAGTCCTAAATCTTGGTGAAAACTTGAGTGAAATCACTTCAAAGTGATACCATGTTTGCCTTCTGTGAATATTTCTATGAATCAGAAATATGCATTAAAATATAAATATTTACAAAAACTATTCTCCACATGGTACTAAAGTAAATGTTCCAAAAGCATTACTATTTCTTTAGTGTAAATATTTCACAAGGTGATTTGGGTATTATCCTTGATGTTTATGGACAAGAATGCTCTTTTCTCTGGGATGGACTTTGCATGCAGAATCCAGAGGCCAGTTCAGTCACATGTCCTGTCACTGCCTCAATCCCCTGCAGAAAATTCTGGGGCTTTTAGAAAGATGCTCACAGCCCAGTATGTTATTTTGTGAAATGTCACAGTGCTAGCGTACTGCAACAGTTCTCACACCCAGCAGTCACTAAATGTAAGCTTCTAGGGAATTTATCAGTCATCTCTAATTCTTCCCCTCTATTTATTACCTATCAAAATAGAAAAGCTCATCTCAAGTGCATCTCCAGAGGTGGGGGAGGGAATCCCAAGATAAGTTAGCGAGTGAAATTATAGTGGAGAATTTGGATTTTATGTGAAACTTTGGCCTGGTTATTTCAAATACTCCAAGAAAGCCACTAGAAGATAAGTGTTGATGATACCAATGTATAATTGTACTTCCTGGACCAGGTAAATTTAGATATACATTTCCCAGGGAAAAAGTACTTTTGAGTTTATTATTCTCTCTTGAATTATGTGAAGAAACTGCTAACATTTTCTACATTGAGTTGGGTCTATTTTGAGTTGATGACAAGGATTAAAGAACAATATTTCCCACTATTTCTCGTTGACTATTTCAAAATAAATGCACAAATACATATTCTGAAAAAAATAGCCAGGTTAAAAGGAAAAAAAAAAAAAAAAGAGAAAAGAAGCAGAAGCTCGCTGCATGGGACATTTGAGAATCTGTCTGAGACCTGACACTGGCCCTCCCCTCACAGTGAATCCCAATGTCTGTTGCTTGGTTTGCTATTCCTGGAGATGATAATATTTTCTACCATGTGGAGCTGAAGACAGTGAGATCATATTCATGACTGCAAATTATACATGGACTAATAAGATACTTTTTAAAGTTTTAAGAATTATTGCTAGCATGACTTTCCTACAAACAATGGAATACAAATAAAGTCCAGAGGCTCAGGACAAGCTAATATAAAACAGATATTTTCTGTTTAATCCTGTAATGTCTTATTTATACAATGAAGATTTAATATTTAAATATTTTAAAAAATTATTGCTTCTGGCTTTTGTCTTTCCCTGTGTTCAGCCCTCTTTGTTATACATTGAAGTGTTGTGCTAGGATACTTGCAATATTAACTTGTCTACATAATTAATTTATTTGCACATGGTTTTAAACATATCTTTAAAATGTAGGCACAGTCTGGTTTTAGGAAAACACAATCCTCCTTTGTGTTTGGATATTTTTCCTTCTCAACGTCCAAAGACTTTTTAGTTTTCCTTAAGCTTTAGGTTTCTCCAATTTCCAAAATGATAATTCTACTCCAGTTATCATGAGGTAGTCCAATTACACATTTACAGGCTTACACAGGTTTGAGAAATTCTTATATTGGAGTTGATATTATTTCAAATCTCAAAACTGATGATTTTTGTTCATTCTTATATTGTTATACTTGACAGTGGTAGATATCATAGTGTCGCAGCATCAGCAGCACTGCGGTATCTATCAACGATAAAATAAACTATTATATAAAATCTCAATCTGGAAAGCACAGTTATCAGAAAGATCACTAAATTTTGAGATGCTGAACTAAGGATATTTTAGAATATTCTGTTGATTTTATTTGGGCCTAAGTCACTTCCTCCGTGGGAGCTCAACAGAAAAATTGGAAGGCCTTTGTTGGAAGGACATAGAGGAATAGTGGTGCAGTTAACGTTACACGACGGTGTTTTTTAGCCGTTCCTTTGGAATCTTCAGATCTCTCACTAGAACACGAAGTGCCGTCTATTGCAAAATTAGCACATCGCAGAGTGGGTTTCTTAAGATTAACTGATAATTAATAAACAAGACAGAGGGATAGGTAACCTCTCTGGTAAAATAAATTTGGAAAAATGTATCTATTAAAACACAACCAGTAAGACTCTACACTGCTGCTGACGTGCAATGTGAAACTCCAAGGGGAGACTGTGTTGTATAGAATGTCTCTACTTATTTTTCAGTGAAACATCCTGAGACATTATTTCATAAAACCCCTCTCTCTGTTATTCACTGCAAATTTGCCCCTTGCATTTAGTCAAGTTTAACCTTCAAATTCTTCAGTTAGGCTTCATCACCACCCCTTTAACACATAATTGCACTTTTAGTGCTTTTAGAATCCTATTTATTTTACACCTACTTTTTTTGAGGGGGGGTTGTAGGAATTTGTCTCTGTTCTCTTCTAAACTGTAACACCTAGAGACAATGGACCTCCTTAGAACTTTATAGGAACTCAGGAAATGCTTAGGAAGGACTGATCCCAGCTATCTCAAGGACTGATATGATTTCAAAGATTTCTCTGGAAAGTAAAATATGTGTCTTCACCCATTTGAAAATGAGTAGATTAGATGTTTATTTTTATATGCATCTTTTTGCTCAATTTAGTTCTGTTGAATTACAGGGATAGTAAATCACCATAGCCCAAACTTATAACTAAAAAAGAATTCAAACTGAACAAGATTCATGCAAGATTTTTATTCATCTTCATTTTCAGAGTACAGTTAAGTATTTCATTTGACAAGCAGACATGACATTCTAGTAAACATTTCAAAACACTCCACAGACATCCTAAGTGCTGGGAACAGAGTAACTTACTCTGCAGTTAACATGGAAAGTAAGTACTTCAAGAAGCTATTAAGGGCAAAAGCCTAAATGACCACTGATCCTGTATTATAAAATGATTATCCTAAAACAGCTACAAAGAAAAGCACAGTCATGACAAAACTAGCAAGATCTTGCATCCAAATCCACCAGATTCACGGAGGATAGGACTTGGAGTTACTTGTAAAAAGCCAAATGTTTCTCTCACAATAAGCTACAAATTGAGGTGATTAATACTAAGTGGATAGACTTATGTTTCAAAAATTCTGAAAAAAATTTCATATCTAAATTCCACTATATTGGTGATGGTAGGAGATGCTAAGTCATTGAAGAGTGCTCTCTCCATTTCCTGGTTTATGAGTTCTTCTGAGAGATTTTCATTGTGACAGTTTTGATCTCTGTGTATTCATGGAGACCATATTCTCCCCTAGAGAGAGGAAAAAAAATACTCTTAAACACCACCGAACACAGTATTACAAATATGAAATAGTCCCTGATTTGGTGCAAGTACGCTCTTGCTTATCTATCTGGAGACAATGAAAAATATTTCCCACATAAAAAGAAGCTAGATAGCAATAATTCAATATGTATAAATCTCCCTTGAAAAGGTTTATTTTAATGTCTTTCATTTATGTGCCCTCAGTTAACTTTGGCAGACATTTTGTATTTTTGACAATATTGTACTTGACTATAAAAGCTTCAACCTCTCAAAAGCCAATTCAACCCAATAAGAATTTTATCACCTTTAGTTTGGTCTATATTTGAATAAATAAGCAGGTGTAATACAAAAGTGAAGTAGGCATTACATAGTCACTCCAGGGTAATACCATAAAAGTATAAAATGAGGGGAGAGCCTTTACGTACTATGTGCTATTGGCACCAAATTGATGACAGAGGAGAATAAGTGGAGAGCGTGCTGCCATGTTCATTCTTTTTTTTTTTTTTTTTTGGTACCGGGGATCGAACTCGGGTCCTTATGCTTGTGAGGCAGGCGCCAGAACCATGGAGCTAAATCCCCGGCCCTGCCGTGTTCATTCTTAACTGCCACTATCTTTTGCAGTTATATTTTAAAAACATCTTTTGATCTTGGCAAAACAAAAGCCTGAACTTTATTACTAGAACATGTTTTATTTTTAAGATAAGAAGACATTTACCTAAATTTTAAAAGATTCTCTGCCATTTGCTGATGTAACTCTTTGGTCCACCTAAAGGACCATCAGTTAACATCAGCCAGTCTGTTCCTTCCCTGGACCCTGTTATCAGGTTTATATCTCCTAGCATTTTTGGAAATTATGGCTTATCTTTTGTTGAAGGGTTAACCAGAGGGATTAAGCTTAGTTTTTCTCTGTATTGTTTTGATGAGAAGATCAAATTGGTATAAGACTATACTTGAAATCATAACAGCTAGGCACATGCTGATGTAAAGAGGAATAAAATCTTGATTCTTTCCTTCCCCTCTCTTGTTGAGATATGCACATGTATGCAGAGTAGATCTTTTCTCCTGAGAAACCTCATTCCCTTATAGAATACTTTTAGGGTTACAATTAAGCTCTTGAAAATACCTTTTAAAAGCTTCAATGAGTGTTTGTCAGAGTAATTAAAAGGTTTGGAGACAGCTGTCTGAAAGCCATACTATGATAGATTTTAGGATGTATTTTATTTCCTGGAAGTAGATAAATGAACCCATGATCTTCACCAATAGACTTTTCATTGTATTTTGACTTTCAAGAGCACTTGAAACTCTCAGGAGAGGAGTAAGTGGTTATTGTCACGCTCAGGCTGAAACAGTTCCTCTTCTTTAGAAGTCCCACACATACACTATATCCACGATAGAACACAACACATCTGCTTGCATTTCTCCTAATCTTGCTGTCTGTGAGTTACAAGTTCTGTGCATCTAAAATCCTCAATTTACAAATCACTGGGGATCTTATTCTAATGCTGATTCTGATTCAGTAGGTCTGAATTAGTTCTGACACTGCATTTCTAGTAAATGCTCCTATAATATTCATGCTTTCCATCCATGGGCCACACTATAAGAAAAGGCACTGGTGATAAGTTAGGTCTATTTTTTCCCTTTGTGCCCAGGAATGAGTTTTGTGCTAGTTAAGCAGGCACAGAGGGAGTACTTAATGAACTGACTTGGCAAATATAATCAAGCAAAAGACATTCATTTAAGCTCTTGCTAGAAACCTGGTTGTTCACCTTTGCTCCCCTTTTTGAAAGGGACAAGATCTACCTTGTAGGGTACTGAGAACTAATTAAACATGAATGTCCTAACTATCAAGGCTCAAGATGTCTGGGTTAACGCATGTGAGAATGAGTGCAGTTGCCAAAAGGGAGAGAGTCTTACTATGGATCCCATCCCAAAGCCAACCCAATGAGCGGAGCTTCGAATGTCAAACTGTTTACTCAGTGTTACCATCAAACATATTGAAGTGTGCACACCACTATTTCCGGCTTTTTAAGGGCTCTGCTCCCAATTGGTCAATATTGATTTTCTACCTTTCAGGCCAAATTATAATTTAAATCTCGGAGTCATTTAAGGCCATCGCTTCAGTGATTCCCTGTAAACATTTTACAGCAGATAACTTGTTCATTAGGTTCACCTAATGTATTATATAGATGCTGACAGTGCCATTCTTAGCTAGAATTTTTGAAGGAAAAAATTATATCTACTTTATGGCTATAAAAGAAATTATAGATAGTTCATTCCTGTTTTCAGTCCTTCTCCTATTTGATATCCTCACGCTTCAACCTCATTAAACTTTGACCGAATTGTACTCAACAAAATTGGCATGTTTTGTCTACTATTATTATTTCATCATTTTGGTTATTCTATCAGCATTCCCAGGGAAACGTGTAAGACATCCGGAGGAGCAATGGATCAGCAGCCCTGAAGAGTAACCCTATCTTTGACTTAGATTTATTTTTTTTGGTACAAGGTAATTAATTCTGCCAATGAATTATCCAGTAATGAACATCATAAAGAAACTAGAGAAGGAAAAAAATAATTTTTGAGTTCCCATTTGGACAGTTCTAAGGCTAGTGACTAAACATTGAGAAGGTCACTTAACTCTCACATGATCTTAAAAGAAATGTTAATATCTCTGGTTTAAATATAAGTAATGAGGCTCAGACACTGAACGACTAGAGCCAGGCCACGTGTCGGGCCAGTGATGCATCAGGACTCAGACGCAGGCCAGTCAGGCTCCCAGCAAGTTTGCTCTCTGTCTGCGCACTTCCCGTCCTTCAGCACTGTCTGTGAGCCCACAGCGGTCTGAGGATGGCCGTGCTTTTCACCAGTCCATTGGTGAGATCCAAGCCTATTTCCTTGGATTCAGGACATCTTCATCTGGATCGTATTTCACTTTAAAGTCGTTCGTTCTATGCCCAGAAATCCACAGCAACCAACCACATTCCCCAGCCCTTCAGCATGCCACGTGTAACATTCTAGTCAGAGAAGGACCTCTTCTTTGTTTACTGACATCTTATACTAGCTTCATGCCCTAGACGAAGTCGTGTCTTTTCTGCGAAGTCTTCTCTTACTTTGTCAACCTCACTGTGTAGCTCAGGCTGTTCTCAAACTCACAGCGATCCTCCTGCCTTAGCCTCCCGAGTATTGTGATTACAGACGTGCGCCATCACGCCTGGCTGGAACCATAGGATTTTAAACATGGAACAAATCTCAAAGACCTACTTACTCCCTGTGCTCTCTCGAAGATTGACTGTTCTCCAGATGAAAATAAGCGAGAATGCTTGCTTATTCAATGGTACACGCTATTGGTATTCAGATTTTTCTGTCCTTCAATACTTTGTTCTGCACTTCAACCACATTCCTGACTTCGTCTCTATCAACACCCATCTGCTACTACCTAATTAATTCTGTGTGTGGACATTTTGCATTGTATTTTTTTATGTCTTCCTCCTGCTACCAAAGTTATATACAAGATGGAACATAGTGCCTAAGACCTTATCCACACGAACTACGTAAAGAATGTATATTGAGAAAACCGATAGATCATTATTTCATTCCTCCATTTCTGTTTCATCAAAGATGTTTATTTTCTTGTAATTTTGCTAATTAAGACAAATGACAAAGTTTATGGCTACTTTAATATGCAAATAGCTTTTAGAAACTTAGTTTACTTGCTATTAACAAAACAGAAAACTTCTAAAGTTTGTATATGATACTTCTTTTGCTTAAGGAAATTTTCATTATTACCAAATGTAAAAATATTTTAAGAAATAAAAAGGTTAACATGCTTGATGCCAGGGATTTAGCTCAGTGGTTTTACCGCCTGCCTCGTAAGTACAAGGGCTTCAATTCAATCACCGGTACCAAAAACAAAACAAAACAAAACAAAACAAAAAAAAAATTGGCCGGGCGTGGTGGCGCACGCCTGTAATCCCAGCACTCTGGAGGCTGAGGCTGGAGGATCGCTGTGAATTCGAGACCAACTTGGTCTACATAGTGAGTTCCAGTTCAGTCTCAACTACATAGTGAGACCCTGTCTCAAAAAAACAAAAAACAAAACAAAAAAAAACATGCTTGAAAAAAATTAATCGAATAAAGTGCCTTACTCCTTTGTATAGAATGTATGTGCATATTAACAATTCTATGTATCTTGGATTCAAAAGAAACTAAAAGCTCATAAATGCGCGCACACACACACACACACACACACACACACATATATATGTATATTGCCAATTGAGTCACAGCTATACAACATGCTTTCCTTACTCAAATTTTCTTCTAAGTTTATATGTTAGTGCCAAAAACAAATCATTCAGATAATTTAAAAATATTTAGACACTACATCAATAATATTTTAGCAAAAGAGAATCATTCATTTTAATGCTAGAGTCTTTTGCTATAAGGCATCTAATTTATTTCAGAGATATATTCAAATAGCTAAAGTATTCTTTATATGTCTTACAATCACCAATGTATTTCCTACCTTCTTACTGCAAATGTTTATCAACTGGATTACATACACACACACACACACACACACAATAATCAATAGAAAAATTCTATCAACAATGTAAAGCACTTAATATGACACCTTTTGACAATAGAAGCTTGGTAAATTATATTTATCTTCTGCTTTTGCATTTGTGCATTTATGGATTGATCCATCATTTAATTGAACTAGTTGGTGATACAAATATCCAAGAAAGAATAAAAGTACATTTTATTTAAGAGAGTAAACATGAATTAATTCCCTGGGAGTGACAATCACGTTTATCAAGGTAAACATTTATCACAACAAAATATTTTTCTTACATTTCTCTTCCATTTCCAGACATTTTGAATCCACCAAAGGGGCACTGAGCAGACAGCACACTATAGCAATTTACCCTGAAAAAAAGAAAAAGAAATGATGTACATGACAAATAAGATTTAACCCACGAAGTAACTCATGAATTTGAAACTTTAGGGCTTTAAAAAACTCTTTTAGAACTTCATTCATTTTCATATAAAATATTGAGCTTTTTTCAAAAAGTAATATAAATTAGAACACAGAAGGAATATGAAGATACAAATATACTATCTAAAAATAAATAAATAGTGTATGTGAACGATAAGTACATCCTAACCTTAAGAAGTGGTAGTGTGAATTTTAAGACAAAAGAGCCAATATACCCCACAAACAAAAATATGGTTTGCTAGAGACCACAATTCATTGTTCAGATGTTCTTTATTGCCTATATTTAATAAGTTTTGGAATTCTCTCAAAATGTATATACTTACCATGCTGTATTTGATTTTCTTTTACAATTTCAATGTATATTATAATAATCAGCTCATTTTTTTATTACCTGGTTCAAATTGCTTAAATAGGGCCTTGGTAAGAGTTGGATTTATCAATTTGTTTATCAGATTTCATTGTGTTTAGAGATACTTATATGAAGAAATATAGTTACAAAAATATGAGCAGATTCAGAAAATAGCAATGGAAATAAAGATGAGGAAAAATTATTACATCTTTTTCAGGCCATGAGTAATTTATTTACCTTTAAATTTCCTGGTGGCCAAAATTAACAGTAAAATGTAACTGCCTATATGATTCTCATTACAGACAAAAGGGAAAATAATTAAAGCAGAAAAAATTTCTGCTTCTTACATTTTTCCTTCCTTTCATGATATTATAACATGTAGAAAACAAAGTGAGCTCCAGATAAATTGTACTGTTCCTCAAAGGTTTTGGCCATTACTTTGGCTTTGAAATAACATTCAGATGTTTTCTCAGTTAAAACACGTACTATCTCAGCTCTCAGAGGTCTACATTTTCACTGGGCCACAAGGTTCTTTTCCATGTATCTCCTACAAAGGGGATCATTCTGTAAGTAAATTTCCATTTTTAAAACAAAACTTTTCTCTGCTTTAATTGCTCTTTAAATGGAAGAATAAGATTCCCACTTTAAAATCACTGGCGAAATACCAGCAATGCTGGAATTGTATAGTTGTCTGCTAAACACCAAGCAGCTATTAGGTCTGAGATGATGCCAGAATATTATTATGCTCTAGGATATAAAGTAATAAGAATATGTCCCCTTTGTTGTGATTGTGTAGAAATTCTTGATGCGACTCCACCCCACTCAGTGAGATGATGTCATAATGAGCTTCTCTATCAAGTGTTCACTTAAAGGTTTTCATTGTTAAAATGTGCAGGAAATAGTTTTGATCTTTTGACTCCACAATGCAAAATGAAGCTATTTTTAGTATAAGTTAACAGAAGACTGAGACATTTCCAGTTAGACAAAACTGTGAGTTCAAATTGCTATCCACCCTCTCTGACCACGTGTCTCCTCATCTGTGGAGATGATACTTCTCAATAGCAGAGTTCCTAGGTTTGCGTAAGATGTGCTCATTGAACTACTTGGTATCCAGGTAAGTCTTCATAAGTGGAGCTAATTCAGTGGCAATGAGGATTTGTGTTAATAATTTATCACAGGACAGTTCTACATTAATCACTGGCCATACTGACTTAATGAAGAATTTGCTTGATTTTCTTCAAGATTTTTTCAGATCTTGGAATATCTGAATAGACTTTACTGGTAGAATATCCTTAATTCCAAACTTTAAAGTTTAAAATTATCCAAAGGCCAAATGTTAAGCAGGTAGTTGGACATCAGTGGGCCTGAGGGACAAAAGGTGTGTGTGTGTGTGTGTGTGTGTGTGTGTGTGTGTGTGTGTGATCCAAATGGCATGAATTAACAGCTAAGGAAGGAAACAAATATTTCAGTGTATATACTACATTTATAATCATTTGTAGTTCTCTGTCCTAAAGAGATCCCACTGAGTCCAGTGACGTTTTAAGGTCACACATTGGGCACATTCCTTCTGATTCTTGGCCATTGGCCGTCTAGTGTCAGAAGAAGGAATACAGCATTGCTGAATGCTAAATCCTACAGCCCAGTGATATAAGAAAAGAAGTGTTCTCTAAAGACCATCCTGCCTTGGAATAGTTTAAATTAAGGCCTATTTTAAATTAAGAATTTAACTTTTCTAAGTTTTGTAGGTAATTAAAGCTGTTGAGGAAACACCAACCATCTAAAAAAGGAGAAGATGTTTTTGTAATTCCAAACTAACTTTTAAGTAAAATGTCAAACATCATTAACTCCAGGAGTAATTTCTCCATATATAAATATATCCAAAATTGCATTGGGGCAAGTGCCTTTGTGACTCTGTCCGCCTTCTTCTTAAAGGCATAATTCTTTCACATCAATTTTGCAATAAACTCTACCTATATTTTTGCATGGACCCATGCATGTCTTGGCTGATTTCTTTCCCGAAGGTCTCAAAGAGCCAAGGACCAAGGAAGTGAGAGGCTGCTTCTCCACTGAGTCAGGACCCTATTTCCTGGTGACACTATGTTTCTGCACTGCAAATCATTTTATATTTTGGACTTTGGGATTGGAGATATTCTGTTTTAATATTGAGTCAAGGTTGTGAACCATTCGTTAGACTCGGAGATAAAACTGACACTCAGCTCTGTCATATGTTGTGTTACCTTGATAAATTACTTAACCTCACTACATTTTTCATCTTTTCACAGATAAATCTGAGATGACAAATAGTTGTTTAAGGTAAAGTAAAATAATGAATGTAACAGTATAGCGCTGATGCTAGACACAGTGGTATGAGCTTATAACATAAACACTCAGGAGGCTAAGGAAGGGCTTTCACAGTTCAAAGCCAGTTCAGACTAGATTGTTAACACAAAATACAATACAGCGTGGAGTAAATGTTAACTAAATAATTACTTTCTTTATGGATGGGTAAAAAATTCTAGAGCTACCAATAGGGAGATATATATAAGTAACTAATTGTTTAAAAAACTAGAATAAGAGTGAGAAAAACTAATCTTAGAAAGAAGGGGGACAAAAACTACTGAGAAAACAATCCAGACACTGAGGACTAGGAAAGGGGTATAAAAATGTGAGAGACTAAGCCTTGAAGCGTAAAGTATAAAAATTAAACATATAAAATAGGTCAAAATAAAGAGATATTCCTCAAAATTTAATATATTCTTCTACATTATGATCTTCAAGCATCTCTAACAGTCTCAGAATAAGAATCTGAAATAAGAATTAAATGTTTGCATGGGTACCAAATAAATGTTATCTTAATTAAACCTGATTAAAACACATTCTTCTTTTATTTCCTTTGCACAAATCATAGTCCCAACTCCCTAGAAACTACCCATAATATTTATATTGTATAAATAAAACACCCATGAAATATTTTGGCTAAGTAATTCCAAAAGGCTAGACTGAATTTTAAAAAATACCCTTCTTGCCAGCCATGGTGGTGCATGCCTGTAATCCCAGCACTCGGGAGGCTGAGGCAGGAGGATGGCTGAGTTGGAGACCAGCCTGGACTACATAGTGAGTTCCAGGTCAATCTCAACTACATAGTGAGACCCTGTCTCAAAAAAACAAACAAACAAACAAACAAATACCCCTCTCAATTTTTTTCCATTGTAGCAATTTATTTTGCTCATTTTGTTGTTGCTGTTGTAGTTGTTGTTGTTTTGTTGCTTATTTACTGGCAGGCCATTTAATTTCAGCTAAAAAATTCAAATTAACCTGTTGATATGGCTAATGTTGAAAAGGAACCGATTGCTTCCGGTCACTTGACTTACCACACTGTCCCTGCCTGCAGAGCAGAGGAGACCGTCACTGCCTTGTCAAGGTCTTTGGTAAAGACTCCTGCTGATAAACCATAGGTGGTATTGTTTGCTCTCTTGATCACATCATCCAAAGATTTAAATTTCATGATTTGTTGCACTGGTCCAAATATCTATAGCATAATAATTGAATGAAATAAACTCATAGGTTAAAATGAAATATTTTAAGTGGTGGTGAAATATAGTTTTTTTTCTATATATAGACTGTCCTAAATTGGGTTATTTTGTTTCTAAACTCTGAGCTGTGTGTGAGAGTCAAAATAGATAGCTGTGGACATGGTACATGAAAACAAGGAATGTTGATGTGTTAAATTCTCTTTGGAGAAAAGTAGGATACGAATATATGTGAGTATTTATTTTCTAAATCTTGGAATTAAGCTTCCAAGAATTTGATTGTGGATCAAATCACTAACTTGAGAATTTCTCTTTAGAAGCATTTAGAATTTCCTCCCTAACTTTCTTTGTTTTTTAAGTTACTACATATAATAGTAATATCAAGAAAGCAATGCTTGCTCTGTTGGTTAAATGAATGGGCAATGGTTCATAATATTTATATTTAAAGTACCATAGTGCCATTGAATTATCAAGTATTTCACTGTACTTTGGTGTGTTCATAATCCATAATGAAGTCAGGTAAAACAACATACAATTTTATTTAGTCTCTACTCTGTTGTCAAATCTTATGTGACTTACATATTCCAAAAGAAATAGCTCATTTCTCTAAGAGCTTAAATCTCGACACCTCCCCGCTATAGTAACCAAACACCACAAGTTCATTGGCCATGCCTATAATTACAGAACAGGAAATAAAAATCACATTCGGCTTATTCCAGTCTAAACCACTCTTTCATTTTTTGGTAGGCTGTACTTAGCAAAACCATAACAACTCATTCTGTATTTCAGCTCCAGGCAGGAGAAAAATGAATTTTCTCTTTAAAAATATCCATATTTTAATAAAATATTACTTGAAATTAAATAAAAGGAGGCTTCTCATAGTCTTACCAGAATTTTCTGGGAAATGTGAGAGACAGCAGGCAAAAAAAAAACAAAACAAAAAAAAACAGAAATAACAGATGATTTTTCTAGTGTTCACTGTTGATTTAAGTGGTATAGGCCCAGGGGCTACCATTCAGGGGGAACTGAGTGCAAATCCTGAGGCTATAAATGTAATCTTGATACTGTGACCTAGGAACCAGACAAAAGCACTCATATGTTATGCAACTTTAGTTGAACACAGTGCATGGCTCCAGGTACCCAGTGTGAAGTAACAAGCTAGCTATCTATTATATTATAGGCACATTATAAATGTTTCCTTGATTGAAGATGTCTTTCCCCTCTCTCCTACTATTCAATACATGCAAGGGCAGCTCTAATTAGCAAAGTTTTTAATCAATCAATGAAAAAAAATTATAATTCAATTTACTGAATTGATGTGGAGAAACTGGTGATGTTTGACCATTCACATATATTAGATTTATTTTTCCCATTTTCTCATCTGTTTGCAATTCTGAGTATACACTTTTCCTCTTGGTTTAAAGACATTTTGAAGTTAAGGAAAATAACCTGATTTTCTGTCATCACGTGAACATGGAGAACAAGTGACTGAAAGGATTTTGGTTCAGTGCCTTCGGGCTGTCAGTGCCTTCTTATCGCAGTGTGTGACACAACGCTTTCATGGTCAAAGGCGGTGCATCGATCTCTGCATTATTAAAAACCCTCAGTGTGCATGAGGCTGATTATTTACCAAAATGCAAACTAGCTCTTCCTGGTTGTATGTCATATCTCTAAATAACATTGATGTTGTTGTTATTTAGTTGATGGTCACCAAATATTTCACTTATAGTAGGTGACATATTATACAATATAGTTAAGTACTTATACATATGAACATATATCATATCCAAACATAAGAATTTATCCCCTGCATACTCCTCATTCTTCACGTGTTTTTGATTTCAGATGTTAGGCTTTCTAATTTTGTGAATTGTATTTAAATATTGAAGGGATATTGAAGGGTACATATACATATATAAATTCTAGATTGGTATGGATATATACCCAATATCTAACTACAACATATATACAAATATATCTGTACATTCATATAGAAATATATTTGTGTGTACACACATGTATATAATGTATAACATATTTATATTTGCATATACAAAATTAGAATATCTTACCCTATAGGCCCACAAGCATATCAAAAGTTTGAATTGACATGGATGAATAATATTATCAAATATACGGATGACTCTCGTGTAGAAAAAGCCATAGGGTTTATCTGTGTTGCGACAAATGACAGATTCCTTTCCATGACCTCACAGCTGTGAAGGAAGTCTCTGAAGCTTGTTGAGTACCCTGAGCTGTGTTTCATTGGAAATTCTAGGACCAGTGGATTCCTTACTGATTTTAGTCTTTATTATATATAATTTAAACCTTTATCAATAGGAGAAACCCAGGGTGAAATTTTCTGAGAAAGACATTCAAAGAGCTAGGTGAATTTTATAGGACAGCGTACACATGCAGGAAAAACAAAATGAGACAAAACAAATAAAAAACACAGGGAAACAAAGGCAACAGTGGGAGATGAAGCCTTTACCTCCTCTTTGGCGATGCGCATCTCATCTGTCACATTGGAGAAAACTGTGGGCTGGATGAAGTAGCCTTTCTTCCCCCAGGGGCCTCCGCCCAGTTCCAGTTTGGCCCCTTGTTTCTTCCCACTCTCAATGAGGTCGAGTATTTTATCGTGCTGCTCCTTGTCAATCTGTTTCAAAAATATCATATGAAAAGGAGTAAATACCAACTAGCAACTTACAAAGGGACATCATTGCTGGATTGGTTAATGAAGTCTTCACAATGCTAGGATCTTGTGAATAGGCAATACTGCAACAAAAGAGCTAAGAAAAACTTGAGAATCATTCTGTGGGTACATTCACATTACATGAATTTGTAAGAAAACTCCTTGATGATATTTATATTTAGTATCTACAGACTTGCAAGTAAAACATATTGACACTGTCACTCTCACGGACCTTTCGCACAACTGTCATTTGTTCATTCTGGAAGAAAAGTCTGATAATGATCTCACACATTTACCCAGACAGTGGAGTCTTACTTGAAATAAAAGGAGTGAGAGGCGAAGAATGCTCTGATTTTGGTTCACTTAGACGTGGCAGTTGAGACGCTGATGGGCTTGGACTTTAGAAAGACTCCTATCCTGTATCTGTTTGGGCCTTTCCTTCCCTGCCCCATCCCTTCTGGCCTGGTCCATGCCTTCATACATCACATTCTGACCACGTATCGGGCACCCTTCCCAGTTCAGCTCTCTGTAGGTTTGATTCCAATTTCTGGACAGCCTCACTTATCAACTTTGTGATTTGTTACGTGGGTCACATCTAAATGCATGACAAGAATCAAAGAAATTAAGTGAGTTTTTTTTAAAAAAATACTTCTACAGGATGGAGAAACGATTTCAGAGCTCTGATTGAGAATATGAGGAGTGATGATATACCTTCATGCATTGAACTGAGGTGGCTATTTATTATCTCAGTTCCTGTATTAATCGAGTGACACTTGGTCTCACATTAGTGATGAGACTGCCTGTCTCAGGTGTTTTGATGTTAAGGTTTAAAGGAAAAACAAGAGATCTAGTAGCCAAGTAGGAAGTTGGAGGCTCTCACCAATTTAATGCACATCTCCTCACTATTTAAAAAGTGGTACCCTTTATCTTCTTTGCCTTGGCAAATCCTTCATGTCTTCTAAGGCCCAGAAAAAATTTCCATAAGGGGATTTCTAACTGTCCCCAAGTTAGTTTTCATATCTAACTAGATTAAGTGCTATTTTTAAAAAATTTGGTCCAGTGTTGCTCAGTGCTTTTCAAGGCAGCTACAAGGTCTCCCTACCATGACATTTTGTGTGGTTAGCATCATTTTCTTTTTCCAAAATGAAAATATCATTATTGAAAAATTTTACGAAAATACACATTTTTGTCTATGAAATCAAATAGGACTTTCTTTACAAATTAAGAAAAATATACATATATGAATCCATATTTTTAATACAAGTAGAAATAATAATAAAACATAAATATCCTACAAATTGCTCAATCAGATACTTTCAGTTTGTATTCTTCTAAAAAAGAAAATAATCAAAATTACTTTAAAATTTTAGTACAGGGCCAGGGATTTAGCTGAGTAGTTCTGCCACCTGCCTGGCAAGTATAAGGACCTGAGTTCAATTCCTGGTACCCCTCCGAAAAATCATTATTTTCCTATACAAATATTTTTGGCAATTATTTTCTCTATTATTATTTTGTTGTGACATTTAATGAAGCAGGCTCTCTAGCCTCATTTTAACCACCAATGGTTGAGATGCTAGGATAAAGCTTAGTGAACGAGAGCTTCTCTTCCATAAGTGCTTTCTTATGACACATGAAAAAATTTAAGCATCAAAACCCCAAGGACTTTTCAGTTCTTTGCTTCTGAAAGTTCCAATACCTACTCATTGTACTCATTCAGTTCCACCTGTAACAAACTCTACTCATGCATTGGAACTAAAGCCATATTCATAATTAGACCACCTATTTATGAATCTTAACTTTGATTTCTTCCTCTGAAAAATAATGAGGCATATCTCTCAATTTTTTTAACAATGGTTGAATTATGTGGACTTTCTCTTGGAAAGTATTCCTCATTCATTGTTCCATACTAATTATCTTTAGATAATTTTTCTTCTTTTTTTCCCTATGTATTAATGAGAAAAGATTTTAATGTCAAGATACATAGATAGATGGGTATTTAGAGAGAGAGATAATTTCAACAGAAAACCTAGAAGCCCAATCTTTTTTTTACAACGTGAAACCAATTTTAAATGGGAATTGGATGTATTCCTTGTCACTCATTTAAGAATTTACAAATACAATAAAAATTGGCAACTATTCATATGTAATCATTAAACTCAAAGACAAATATAAAATATAATACATTTAAAATAAAGCAAATAATAACTCCATTTGCCAGTTAATTTAGAGCTCTGAGCTGTCATTGTTCGGCATTATCTAAATCCTAAGGTTTTCTTACTGGGAAATTTAGGATGAACAGGCCAATCCAAGATAGTCTTCTAAGTTACCTAGACAGCAACCTCCATTAGGTCAGGGAATATTTTTTCTTATTCTTTTTGTCATTGCTTTGTGCTTATCTCAGGGCTTATCAGAGTTTAGTTAACAGCAGTGTTCACAAAACATAGATTAATTTTTTTTTTTTTTTTGCTTAGCCAATTAATCAAGAATAGTTTGGTTTCAGGTCGACAGCATTGAACAGTGTATAATATTTAGTGTGAAAGAATAAAGCCTCCAGCCTTTAGGGCCTAATCTATCAACAGTGGTCCTCTTGTACCGTGGTCCAGTTAGGTCTTTGTCATAGGGCTATACTATACATTGTAAGGAGTCGAGTAGCATTTCTGGCCTTTACTCACTCACTACAAGTAGAACCATACCTTCCTATGAACTGTGAAACTTTAAACATCTCCAGATATGGCCAAATGTACTTTGGGATGAGGAGCAAAATTGCCCCTAGTTGAGGATTGCAGCTCTAGGGTAAGATACCAAATGGACAGAGAAAACGCAGAACAGAAGATGTAAGAGCTTGAATAGCAGATCATAAACAAAGAACTGTGCAAGAAAGAGAGAAACATGACCTTTGAATAATACATCAGAGATATCTTATTAAAAATGATTCTAAAGAAACAGAAGAAAACCGGGGAAATAATTGGATTTTCACAACGAATTGAGAAGTTGTCAGGAATCTGGAAACCAGAATCTATAAAGACACCTCTCCTACCCCTAGGTGAGTGCGATGGAAACTTTTGAAAAAGATTTAAGAGTGTTTTAGCTGTGGAATGACAGCTGAGACAAAGGACTGATTTTGAGGCAGAAATGATTGGAATGAACTTTCGGGATGGACAAATAATTGTGTACTGGAACCAAAAGTTTGTAGGTTGAGGAAAGGAAGAAATTTATTCTCTTAATCATTTTTGTTTTCACATCTTTATCTCCCAGAATGATCCTATACTGCTTCTGGAAATGAAAAACAGACAATAAAAAAATGGAATCATTTCTTTTACAGTTGAGAATTCGATTTTTTAAATCATCGAACTGGTATCATATTGCTACCTAAAAATTTGTGTAGATTAGAAGTAAGTTTAGTTATTAAAAATTAATTCTAAAAAAGGGTTATCTGAAATTCATTGTTTCTATTCTTACCTGAGGGCCTTGATTTACACCTGGGGTTAGAGGGTTTCCAAGAACGTATTTCTTTGCCCGCTCAACACTCCTTCGAACAAACTCATCATAAATCGTTTCTTCCACAAAAAGCCTGGATGCAGCTACACAGCATTGGCCCTGGTGGTAGAACAGGCCTTGGTGTGCAAATTCCACAGCAGTGTCCACTGCAAAAGATCATATAAGGAAGAAATATTATGTAAAGAGGAGTACATGATTTACATGTAGTTCTCAGAGGCAACATGGTATTAAAATAAATTTATGGGCCATGAAGTCAGACATGGGCTCTATATATTCAACCTCTTCAAATCTAAATGGTAAAATGGTGGTTATTAACGTAACTTTAAAATATGCATCATTAAGAATGTGGATTTCATCCTAAGATTGAATACCATCACAAATGTTTTTCATAAATTTCTGCATTAATAATTAAGTGACTGTTAATACTTCATTTAGCCATCAGGATTTAACTCAAGAAGAAAGAAAATTTAGAAATGCATGTTCTTTTAAAGTACAATATTACCTCGGTTCATGAACTTACTTTATTCTATGATTTTGAAAAACTACAGCCACATTTGTGTTTGTGCAGGAAAGATGGCCACAGTCATGTTTGTTATCCAATGCAGAGTTTGCAAACCAAAACAAGATTTTGCCAAATACTTCTGTTTGCTATCCAAATTATTTGTGAACAAAAGTGATAGTGAAATTCTTAATGATATTCCTAAATGCCCTGCTTAGTAAAAAATGGATCTTTTTGAATGGAAAACACCAACTACAACATAAAAACAACTAGTTCTACCAATAGTCAGAATTATTACCCCTACTATTGTAGGAAAAGCATTTTCAAAAATCTAAAAAAGTACCATATTATTTCATACATGCCAGAAATCCATCTAATTAGTTTAGGTGGCAGTAAAAGAGTAGTTTGCTTCACTAATAGATCTTTAGCAAGAATAATAAAGATTTATTTGCATTTTAATTTTCTAAATGCTGAAGATTCGCTTTAACATTAAAGCAACTGGGTGTGAATTTGAGAACAAATCATACTGACTTAAATTTTATTGAAATCAATTTCTTGACAGGCTTGGAAAGTTAGGAATGTTGTCAGGTTTACAGACTGTTTAAGAAGGCAGTTTACTATAAAAAAAACTTAATTAAGATATGAAAGCACTAAAGGCCAATTCCAATAAGCCATTTGTTTAGACCAATAATAAAAGAGTTTAACAAAGAATTAGAGGAATGTCTGATCATCTGCTTCTGCTAATTAACTCTTAATTAGGTAGTAACTTTGAGTTCCATTTGGTAAAATAATCAAAATGAACCCATAGTGGGATCACATCATAATAAATATATGTAAACTCAGTTATCCTTGACGCAGGAAAAAAGAAGCTGTTTAAACAGGTTTAATTCTCTTCTGACTATTTCATTTAATGAGTGCATGATCCAGAGTAAAGGGAGATAACAAGTGTAAAATTTCTGTCTCCCCCTTTGGTCTAGGCCCGACATATCCAAGGCACCTCGTCGTGCTAAGTGTAGAGCTAATAATTAAATACAAAGCATTATTTAAAAAAACGTATCTTTTGATCTATGTGTTCTAACTTTGGGACAAAGTAAAAATCTTCAGGGGTAATTTTGGTCTCTGATGAGTTCCCTACGTTACGAGGCAAACCTGTTTGTGAGATCGAAGTTCCCTGCACGGCGTTCTCAGACACCAGGAGGGATGAAGGTGCAGGGACAGGAAAGGCAGCTGTACTCACGGTCAGCATCAGCAAACACGATGCAAGGGCTCTTCCCCCCCAGCTCCAGGGTGACCCTCTTCAGATTGCTCTTCCCGGCAGCTTCTTTAATTATTTTGCCAACCTGAAATGGAGCGTTGCGAAGGAGGAGACTCACTATGTGTTCACGAAGACAGGTTTAACATTTTAAATTTGTATGATGTCTGCGGCATCATTAGATTTCATTTGGAAGAAACATAGAGGATTTTTTTCTTCTTTCACAATTGGCACCTGAAGATTTTAAATGGTCCTCCATGCGAGTATTTAGGCACCAAGACAAACCAGAAAAATATTCATAGGCAACACAGCAGAGATACAGAGCACCATAGGGTCTTGATGTACCCGCCTAGAGAGGTTTCTCTTTGGCTTTTCAACTTCCTCTAGAGACATTCCAGAGCTCTATCCAGCTGACTGGTGTATTCTCTGCCTCTTGAGTCTCATCTGTCTTTTCCTCATTTTACACCAATCCCGACCTGAATTGCATCCAAGCCTGGCTCCTTGTTTGCAACCCATATGATTCCAGCTTTTTCTTGATTCCTTCCCTTATAACTGACTACACATAATATTTTCTTCCCTGGTTCCCAATAAGCTTCATGAAGACCCTTTCATAGTTAAGACCTCCCCAAAATGTATTAGTTTTATAAGTATACCTGTGCATAAATTTACCATAAATTATCACCTCCATGGTAGTTAATTCCCATGTCCTGTCACTGCATACCTCTGCCCAGCAGTGTCTGTCACTATGCGCTCGTTTAACTACTGATTGATGTTTCTCTTTTTCCTTACATTTCCTTCCTCCCTTCATCACCATGCCTCTGGACAGTGGAGACAGAGGAAAGAAATTGGATCTGTTCTGTGCTATTACTTCAGTTAGGAGGACTCTAATGGCTTGATTTCTTCCTGAATGCCAGCAGCCTTTTCTCAGACAGAGACAATTCTTCTCACTTATTTTTTCTTTGTGGATCACTTCCATAAATTATATTCCCATAGATTATTGTCTGTTGGGTTTTGTTGTTGTTTTTCTACTTTCAAAACCTAACATTTTAATAATTTTATTATTTTATTGTCACAAATCCACAAAAATAATCTTTGCATTTCTCTTTATGTAATAATTTTATTTTAAGTCTTTTAGTCTGGATTTCTTTTTCTACTGCATGTGTCAGAAAAGGGTCCTACACCTACTAGACAAAAAGATAAATTGTGCATTTACATTTCACGTGGTTGCTGAAGTAACTGGTGCCCTGCCTTACAGAACAGAGTATTAGAGAATCTGCAGAAAAGGTTTCATAGGAGTCAATCAAATCCCTAAAAGTAGAGTAATAAAACTAAACTAAATGTAAACCTATATTAGGAAAACCCTGTCTGAAATGTCTTTTACAGTCCATTTTTCTTTCATAACATATTTCATATGACCATTTAAAAAAGGTGAATTGGGCTGGGGATTTAGCTCAGTGGTTCCACTGCCTGCCTCACAAACCCAAGGACCTGAGTTCAATCCCCGGTACCAAACAAAACAAAACAAAACAAAACAAACAAACAAAAAATTTAAAAAGTGAGTTTTCATTTAAGGTGATTAAGAATTTTTTCCTTGTCCCTTTAAACTCCCCAATTTCAAATTTAACAAGGATACTTAACATTTCTGAGACACACTGCTAGGAGGAGCTGCGTCAGAATGTGAACCCAGAGGTTTCCTAGGCTTCTGTCAGGGTTTCTTTTTGGTAGGCAAAGCATCCCCTGAATGCTGCAGGAGCTTCCGGATGAGCCAAGACGAACAGGAAGCGACGCTGGCAGTGGGGTCAGGGAGCAGCGGACTGGGGGAGAGAGGGACCTGGAAATGTCCCTGGAGCCTCTATAGGGAGAGGTTACAACTCCAGGCCGGGGAACATGGGCCTTCCCTCCTGTACCTTCTCTGCTACGGTTTCAGTCATTTCAATAGTTACTGCTACTTCCTGAACATTCTCAACTGTCCACAGAAAATCCTGGAGGCAGAGTTGAATTTTCCTTATCTCATTTAGGGATTTTCACGAAGCAACCTATTTCTATGTTGTGAAAAGCAAAGAAAAATATATTTTCTTTTACCTAGTTTTAGAAATCAAGAACAATCAAATTTATTGTTCATCTTCTATGTAAATAGTTTTACAATTTTCTATATAAATAGTTTTTTTAAGAAACATATTGCGATGGATTAGTAGCTTTATAAAACAATGAAATTACCCTCAGTTCACTACCTAGCTATGTAGGTGCACAATCTTCTGGCTTTTCCATGCCCCTCTGAAGGAGGAGGAATTGTTTTCTTAGGCTCCATGTGTGTGTGTGTGTGTGTGTGTGTGTAAAATATAACGATGTGCATGAATAATAAAACTTCCTTTTTTTATTAAGACTTTTTAAAAATGGCCAGTGGCTGCAGGTTAGAGAAACTTATGGAATGTCTAGTTTTCTTCTCAATCTTCAGGGTGTTCAACATGTAACAATTCCTGAAAACCCAGAGGAAGTTTTAGCAGCCATTTGGAGATCAGTGTTTGTGTGTGTGTGTGTGTGTGTGTGTGTGTGTGTGTGTGTGTGTTGTAAGTTTAAGATAGCCAGCCAGGAGCTAGAACACAGAAAAATTGAGTGATACTATCAATATTATAACAGTGAAACTGAGCTTCTGGCTCCCCTTTCAGAAGGTGCAGGAAAAAGAGTCTCAAATAAGGAGCTCAGGGTGAGGCGCTGCTACTTAATTTTCATAATTTACAAGGTACAACTGCATTCATTCACACAAATCACTGGGGCCTAATTTATATTTCCTATTATAAACTTTACCAATCATGTGACACAGTCCAAGTAGCTCTGTTCCTCACAAGGAAAGTAATGAATATACTCAGAATAGTTTTGTCCTTTGGGGTTTGTAATTAATATTTCATTTCAACTAAACTGTAATGCTTGTGTTGTATAAACAGATTTGAAAACTAGAATAAAGAATAAAACATTAAAATGAACTTTTGTTTAAGGAAATTTTGGCTTCAAAACAGTTACATAAACATCCTTTGGCTAGTTAGAGATGTGGCCATATTTAGCGGCCAGGCTGGATAAGTAGCATTACCTCTGTCGATCCTGTGAAGGCCACTTTGTCAATGTCCATGTGTGAGGAGATGGCTGCCCCTGCAGTGGGCCCATAGCCAGGGACGATATTCACCACTCCAGGAGGAAAACCTGCCTAGGAGGATAAGAGCCAAACATCTGTAACAGAACTCAGAATGATGCAAAAAAGGGGAACATGTGATGGAGGTTGGGTTTTTGAGCTAATCCTATGAATTGCTCTACCAAGAAAAATGCATCTAAGTGGCTTTATTCTTTATTCTTCATTGCTATTGTTTCATTTCTTAGCCTATATAAAAATATCCTCAGTGGAGGCAAGCACTGGCAGTTGGAAACCAGCTTAACGTTACAGCATTAGAAGGATGCTGTATTAGTTTCACCATGAATCTGTATTCACGAGAGTTGGACAAAAGCAAGAAAACAGTGGTCATCAGGTGACTGAATCCAAGCCTCCCATCTGGCTTCTACTCTGCATTTGGGGGAGTCTGTTGTGCACTGACGGACACAAATTCCCACTAGCAGCCCTGCTCAGGGCACCCTCACCACTGGACGGAGGCTTTGAGGAGAGTGCAGCTGACAGTAGCACTAAAAGGCTTCCTACCTAACCTGGGGCTCTTGCATTCTTGTGCGTGCTTTGACCCAGGAAGCTTACCTCTTTAATTAACGATGCCACGTGAAGAGCAGTGAGGGGCGTCTGCTCTGCTGGTTTGACAACCACTGTGTTTCCACAGCTCAGGGCCGGCCCTATCTTCCAGGCCAGCATAACCAATGGGAAGTTCCACTGGAAAGCAACATTCCACATTGGAGTCTTTGTTTTGTTCAAAGGCACGGTTACTGATGTAACTTTGACATTATAAACCTTCCCCCTCCCCTGTAGCTGTTAAATAACAATTAGCAGTTTTGTACAGGCATCCAATGTATTCTATTTAAAGTCATAGACAGAAGAAACTAGTAAAGGATAACACTCTAAGTAAAGCAGACAGAAGATGGGAAAAGGAGGGAGCCCCTGAATTTAAGCAAGTGCTGTTATTTTGAATTATTATTCTGCAGGAAAAAATGTCACTGGATGCTTTTGTATACGATCAAGCATATTGTAAACTATCTATGTTTTAAGAGGTGTGATTATCTCTTCTTTTCTGTAGGTCATTTATATATTTACTCAATAATGTTAGCAACATTTATCTGTAGTAAAGTATCCTCTTTTTTTTTTTATTTGATGTGGGGTTCCAATCCAGGGTTTTGCTCATGCTAAGTATATGTTCTCCCGTTGAGCTACACCCCTGGCCCAGGGCAATAAATCTTGATAAAGAAAATGATGTCTAGGGTTATTAGCAAGAGTGTTCGGGCTCAGATCAGGAATCACAACCAGCCATGTGAACTCAGTCAAGTTACTTGTTCCGTGTGTATTAATTGATCATTTGAAAGTGCTAATAATATCCTCTCTGCCTCAGAAGGTTGTCCTGAGATTTAACTATGTGGGGTAAATGCTGAACCATGTTAGCTAACATTAGTATTTAAGATTATGTAGTTTTTTTTAACAAACCAGAAATTTCAGTAAAAATGTCCATGTGTTTGCCCTGCAAACTCATTGAAACAAAAAAATAAGTGATTGTCCTTTCTTCATTTAAAAACTTCAGAACACTAACTTCTCTTTAGTTGACTTTTCAAATATTTCATCTACTTTTAGGCAGGCTTCTCATTGTTGAGTTTAAAAGGAAATTTTCATAGTTTCTTTTTTTTTTCCATTAAGTTGATTGGTACATTGTAGGTATACAATACAGTTACATTCATTATTGGGATCTTCTACCTTACATGATGTATCTTGGTTCTTATTTTTTTCCCCATTTCCCTAATTTCACTTTAAAATAAAATTTTCTAGTAGGGGAATTTGGAATATGAGAGCCTCTTATCTAAAGGTACAATATATTCTATATAATGATCCAAATACCTCTGGTATCATTTATTCCATTTTAATTAAAAAGTATTTTTAAGGACTTGAACACTTGTTATTACTACTGTCTATGATGAGAAATCGTGGAGGAGATGGAGTGGTGGAGTGGAGTCAGCCACAGGATTGACTACAATCAGGGAAGAGTTGTCCTACATCAGAGCAGCCCGTGGTCATCTCTGTCATACGGTTATAAGGCACAGCTCTTAAAAGAGAGCGTAATACAAAGTTTTTGAAAACAACCCTTAGAGTAAAAGTTTAGGATTTGTTGACGCAGTAAGACTGAAACATGTTCAAGAGTTATGTCAGGGTATAGATAGTTTTCTGTACTGCCTAATTCATATCCTAGAAATTCAGTAACGGAAAGAGCAGGTTAAACAAGTCCTAGTTGTTGAAATTTATATCACATTTAACCAATACACAAACATCCACTTGTAGAAGAAATCTTTGTCACCACATCATATAGAACTCATTTTTTAAAAAGTATATAGGAAAGGAACTTACAGGAATGATTTGGCCACATACTCCAACAGGCTCATGTCTTGTGTAAGTGAAGAAGTCTCCATCTGGAAAACAAAGCACACACGCAGCCCTACAGAGAACTGATACATTCCACACTTGTAGGGTGGAGGTTTGAAGTTGATATGAAAGGAAGGTGAAATAAATACATAATTGGCAAGAAGAAAAAAAGCATCTCTCCAACAATTTACAAAACAAGAATGTGAGCCCTCAAATAGCAAACTGGAATGATAGAAATCATAAAACTGAGTTAGATAAAAGTAAAGACTCAAGATTAGGAAATATCTGAAAGATAATTCTGTTTTTCACAATAAAGGTGGGTTATTTTCTGTATTATGTAATTCTCAAAGTTTTATAGAAAAAAGAAAAAGGAGTTCAGTTCTTATCTAGCGAAAAGAAGAATAATATTCAAATGCAGCAGCTCAAAGTTCTTTTTTTAATCCCTTTAAAAATAATATGACTTAAAAATAATGAAATTTTAAAAAGATTTCCTAGGTATTATAAGCCTTTTTATGTGGTCTAAAAAAATTTTTTTTGGCCTACTTAACAAAATACAAGCTCCCTTAATCCATGGGGGAAAATGCACAAAATAAAGGATAATTTTTTTTCTGCCTAGCGCTGACTAATTAATGTGTTGCATGGTTTGATGAAATCTTTCTAAGAGTGCCATTGCTCATTATATTCAATTCTGTTTCACACCAACAGCAAGGACTGTCTTTCTGAAGATCCTCATGTACTTAAATGACTTTTCCCAAGAGATTTGAAGGTAAAGACAGAAATTCACTGATACAGTCACATTTCTTGGCATAACTGTAGTTTAATTTTCCTCTTTTAGCTTCCTGACTACCAGTTGTAAAATATTGGATGCTCAAATAGATTAGAAATGAAATCAGGGCCAGTCTGGGTGGCATGTTTTATTGCTCCAGGTGATACCTTTATACGAGTTATATTATACTTACACTATTTCCCAAATGGATGCTTCTTCATATGAAATATTTTTCATCTTTCTATATTGTTATGTGTATGTCCTACTATATTTATACATACAAATTTTAACCCAGCTATTAGCATAGTTTCATCTTGTTTGGAAGCTATTTGAAATAAATCATATGAATTATTTTGTTTAATTATTCTAGTCAAACTGCACTGAGTTTGAACAGGCACAGATAACCATAGCTGGCTCATAGAGGAGCATGCAAACAAGGCTTAAATAATTAATTGCATTATGAAAAGGGTATACATGTCACTATGATAATGAAACCCAAATAATCTCAAAGGCCAGCTTTGAAGAGTGTGGGCCCTTAGGTAGCTGTCTCAGATCATCAACTGTAGTTGTGAGAATGTTCCTCCATTAACAGTTTCGAAAACACCTATGGTGTTATCTTCCCCATGACTATGATAGGACAATTTTAAAGGCCATTCAATGAATTTTCACAAAATTTCCTAGTTTAGATCCGCGTTGGTTTAAAGTCCTGGAAAAAATATCTTTACTTCATTTGGCTGGCAGCTTTAGAGGAGAGTTTGAAATTACTCAGCTCTACAGTAATCGCCTCAGCCCTAGCCCCACCATGGAGGTTTCCCGAAGTCTCTCACCGACAGGGATGGTGCGGCCCTGGATCTTGTCAGCCCAGCCTGCACAGTAGCGTAATGTTTTTATACAGCCTCCTAAATCCATCAGATATGCATTAGGAAATAATTTTCCAGCATTCACTGACTCCATTGTCTGAAAAACAGATTAATCAATCCCAAAATTTAAAATTCCACAAAAAATTTAGATTAAAAATACATGATTTTGAAGAAATCTTACTTTGTCTAATTTCCTCTTTAAAAAAGAGACACTTGCAAAGAGTTTTAAAAAACAACAGACACAAATAGACAGACATTTAATATTTTGGTAAGAAATTATTTATGGAGAAATAAGATATAGTATAGAGAAATATTTTGGACACTTTCAACAAAGTAAAGATTTCCTAGTAAGATTTCAGGGCCAAGTAAGCTTGAGAAACTCAGCACAATATTCTAGAAAATTCACACTACATATGGCCTTGTTAAAGACCTGTTACAGTTCTAGAGTAAAGGAAAGATATTTCTTTAATTTGGTTTAATTCAGGAATTTCCAAAGCTTTTCCTGTAGAATAAGTTATGAGAGCAGAAGTTAACATCCTCCAGAACTACAGAGCAGATAACTCCTTGAGAATAACCTCAAGGATTGGCAGTCCCATAGTATAAAGAGATGGAGTTTTCTCCTTTGTTCATAGCGTGCGTGTAGCTCTCACTAAAACCAATCAAGTTACCAATTCAGTGAGTGCTTTGGAGAGCTTCCCTGTGCGTCCGGGTTCCTTATACTCACTGCCAGCAGCAGTCGATCTCTTTCAAATAAGTCAGCCAGCTTGTAGGAGGCGACTACATTTAATATTTTGGTAAGAAATTATTTATGGAGAAATAAGATATAGTATAGAGAAATATTTTGGACACTTTCAACAAAGTAAAGATTTCCTAGTAAGATTTCAGGGCCAAGTAAGCTTGAGAAACTCAGCACAATATTCTAGAAAATTCACACTACATATGGCCTTGTTAAAGACCTGTTACAGTTCTAGAGTAAAGGAAAGATATTTCTTTAATTTGGTTTAATTCAGGAATTTCCAAAGCTTTTCCTGTAGAATAAGTTATGAGAGCAGAAGTTAACATCCTCCAGAACTACAGAGCAGATAACTCCTTGAGAATAACCTCAAGGATTGGCAGTCCCATAGTATAAAGAGATGGAGTTTTCTCCTTTGTTCATAGCGTGCGTGTAGCTCTCACTAAAACCAATCAAGTTACCAATTCAGTGAGTGCTTTGGAGAGCTTCCCTGTGCGTCCGGGTTCCTTATACTCACTGCCAGCAGCAGTCGATCTCTTTCAAATAAGTCAGCCAGCTTGTACAGGAGGCGACCCCTCTCTGAAGCATCCATAGTACGCCATGGAGAGCCGATCTGAAAGGCCTGTCTTGCGGCCTTCACTGCTTTCTCAACATCTGCCTGTAAGTCGGAGGGAATTCAATTCAATACGCTCAACACATGGGCAGAGCAAATCCAATGAGAATAACCCCTTAAAACAGGCTGTAGCTACTCATAAACAGACGCTGTGTCTCCATTAGCTCCAAGACTACCACATTCTACATATTCATCTACAGTAGGTAGGACTGACACCTACTGATATTCTTTAGATGGGTGAGCTCCTCACACCTGATATAGGCTTGATTTCCTAGATTATACATGCTATACTATTCTTTGAATGTTTACTGTATTTCAAGGAATTTTCTAATGACTTTACACATGCTAACTCAATTTATTCTCAGTAATTTCATAGAGCCAATATATTCTCCACTTAATAGACGAAGAAAGAAAGAGGAGAGGAGAAAAAGCTTTTCTTAAATTCAGTAACTAAATGTGGCTGAACTGAGTTCTAATGGAGTCCATCTGACTGCGGAGGATCCCTTGCTCTTTAGTACACTTTCTACTCCTTTGGTGACTGGGATACAAAAATTCCAAGCAAACTCAAGATCCCCAAAAGTGAATATTTTTCTGTCCTCCAGGTACTCTATAATCTGTGCGCCCTCACGAAGAACTTATTGAAGACTGACTAGCACTTTTCTTTGCTATTGAAGAGTAAACATTATAAACAGGTACTCATTCATCCTATATAGAGGGCCAAAGGCAGAGAGGAAATGGAACTGTTCTGCAGATGCTTCTGCAGGTGAAACACCCTGTGTTCCCTGGCAGGGTACAAAGAAATCTTTTTCAATGCCTAGTTAAATAAAGAAATCACCTGCCTTTTATTGACAATGCTTTATTTACGCTGATTCCTACAATGAATGGAATCTCAAGACAGCAAACATGTACTAATAGAAAATAAATAAATAACGTAACAAATAAAAAACCTACATTGATTCAAACAAAAGTCAAATGGTAGAGTGAATCCACACCAACAAAGTCTCTTTAAGTAGCCTCCTTGCTTTCACACGAGTGGCCTTCTGTCATACTCTTTCTTCTGGGCTGTACTTTTCTATCCGAGGTATACTCCTTTAGTTCTCTGCTAATCAACCCCAGTTACTCTTTTCCCCTATGGATCCTTGTGCAGGCACCCACTCATCTACAAAATATGCCTACAATGAATATCACCATTCTTACATTACTAGTTCATGTGTTTTTTCCACACCAAATCAATCGCAAATGCCTTATTTTCTAACACCCCTGCCTTACTTTTGCTACAATGAACTCACTGCTATGTGGAAGTTCACAAATCTCAACAACATCACAAGCCAGAAGGTAACAGCATTTTGCAGAAGATGTAATTACCCTTGAGATTTAGGGTGGGAAGAAAAATATGACTATGTTTTAATTTTTAAGTTGTTCACATTTAAACTGAATTCCGGCCAAAGATGATGACTCCCTCTTGGAGAGCCATGGATCTCCTCCTTAGAATGTATTCATTTAAGAAGCCCCAGACTTACAAGTCTCAAAAATTTTAAAGTGGCAATAAATAAAAAACGTTTTCAAATAGAGATGTTCTTTAATTTATGATAAGGTTGAGTCTTCATAATCCTAGGCCAAGTTGAAAATACTGTAAGGCAAAAATGCATCTAACAGACCTGATAAACTGAGCATCATAGTTTATCCTAGATTGACCGAAATGTTCTCAGAATGCTTATAGTCTACTTTATAATAAAGTGTTGGATATCTCATTTAGTTTGTTTAATGCAATACATTATATAGCCCTGACTGTTTACACTTGGATTGTGTAGCTGACTGGGAATTGTGGTTTGCTGTTGCTCTGTAGCATCACAAGAGAATTTTGTACTGCCTTTTGCTAGCCTGCAGAGAAAATCAAATTCAAAATTTCAAGTAAGATTTCTATTGAATGTGTATTGCTTTTGTGTCTTAGTAAAGTTAAAAACTGGAAGTTGAGCCATTGCCAATTTTGATCATCTATATTAATCACCAAACTAAGATGATCTGAAGCAAGAGAGATTTCGTAAAAGTATAATCTGGTCTGATTAAGTAATCATAGACACAAACAAAGATTTTGCAGTGTAATACGTGAATCTCACCATCAAAGTTGAATGAATGATATATATATTTAACAATATGTATGGGTTCACTGATTACTATCTTGAGAATTGCCTATACAGTGCATATTTTCAGCATTCAACTAGTCATATGGATTGCTTACATTTGGACATTATTTTATGCCATAAGTCCTAGCCTTTCTCATGTTAAATTTAGAAAGTACTCTTTAGAAAAAGAGAGAGGTGCTGGGGATTTAGCTCAGTGGTTCTGCTGCTTGCCTTGTAAGCACAAGGACCCAAGTTCAATCCCCGGTACCAAAAAAAATAATAATAATAAAAAAATAAAAATAAAATAAAGAGAGAGAGAGGCAAATCACAAGAATATGAGATTGTCAGTATGATGTGTAGATACCACGGCTTATACAATATTTGCATCTCTGTGTTTAAACAGATCAGTGTGACACAGCTTTCATTTTAGTCCTTCTGCCCAGTGTTCTGGTACTGGCCTCAGCCAAGAATGTGCTATCAGAGGTGTCCTGCCACGAAGGGATATGGAGGAACTGGCTTCAAGACAATTACTGTGCCATATGAAGAGCACATCCTTAGAGAACACTGTTATAAATAAAGATGCTCTTGTGGTTGAGTGTTTTGGGTTATACCTCTCCTTTACTCACATTTAACATTTAATTTTTCAGGAAATAGAGTACTAGTAGTTAATTTATAGTTTTGGAATAAAACAATGTAGATTTAAATTCTAAGTCCTCCTTATTAGCTATGCAATTTTGGAGGCACCCAACCAACTGTATCAATCCATCCATCCACATAAAGTTTTCATACCCAGTCTTCTGTACAATATTTTTCTCATCAGTCTGTTACTGATAGAATAGTGAAGTGAACAGACTGTCCTTCTGAGATATTCATTCAAATGGGAGGGATATACAGCCAAATCATTACCCCACTCTCTTATATACCATGAAGAGCAGTATTCCAGAGGAATTGGTCCAGAACCACATTACACATAACCTAAGTCAACAGATGATAAAATCTTATACAAAGTGATATAATATTTCAGATAACCTACACACATTCTCACATATAATTTAAATCATCTGTGGATTACTTATAATAATTACTATAATGTAAATGTCATACAAATAGCTTCTATGCTATATTGCTTAGAGAATAATGATAAGAAGAATGCCTATACACATTCAGTATAGACATAACCATGGTAGGCCTAACTGCATAGCTTGTGGCAGCAATTACATCACCATGATGAGGAATTTGTGGGCACAGAGGGAAACAGAGGTGAAATATATTGTGCTACATTTTTAGAGTTTAGCGTTTTTATCCATAAATTCAAAGCAAGTGACATAATAGGGTTGTGTGGAAGATTAATTAAGGTAACCCTGGATATATATCTCCTTGTAAGTAACATTATGTCATTCCTTATACAGATACGATTGTTAGTATAGTCTTAGAAGTCAAACTAGTGTTAAAATAACTCTCAGCAATTCCAGTGTATTGCAATACTTGCTTTCAGTTCTCACTGCCTGATACAATTACAGGCTTTTATAATTTTTATATTGTTGACAGCCTTACCAAGTTCATTATCTTCCTTATCTAACTGTGTTGCCTATTGGTACCAGGCTAATCTTTTTCATGCAGTTTTATCTTATCACTCTCTCTTCAATGTTTATAACTGTTCCTTTTTACCTACAGTTCAAGGCCAGGCTCCTCTGATTTTCAAAGTCCAATAGACAGGGATTTGGTTCAGTGGTTCCACCGCCTGCCTCGCAAGCTCAAGGACCTAAGTTTGATCCCCAGTACCAAAAAAAACAAAACAAAACAAAACAAAATCAAAGTCCAATATTCTTTGCCCCACCCTGCCCCCACTGGCCCAAACATTATGTTCACATTTTTTTCTGTCATAGTGACTCAGCTCCTTATTACTCTATGATTCTCCTTGACAAGAATGTTCTACTAGAATGGTCTGTGCTATCAAAATCCTACACATTTTAAAAGACTCAAATACTACAATTTAACTAAATCCTAATTTTTGCAATCAGCTTGATAATAGCTACTAGTTAAGCGATTACTAAGCTCGATGCACTGAGATATGTTCTTTACAGCCTTGTTACTACTGTAATTTTATGCAACTGGTTTTAAATATACATAGGCCTCATGATCATGAAATCCAGCCCAGAGTAGAACCAAAATGCCATCCTGTATCTGACCCAATTCTAGTTCTTATAGCTCTGCAGAGTTATTCTAATAACATCTCCATTGCAAATAATATTTACTTTCTGTATTATAAGTTATTATATTTTTAATTTTTCTGGGCCTACAATAGGAAGTAAATAAACATGCAATAATCTTGTTAATGATTTCTAAACTTATTTTACCCTGATGTTTTATAAGGTTATATCTTAACTAAATTATTTGGACATTTATATCATAAGTCATATTTTAACTGAATCCATTGTTTAAAAAGCTTATACATTATTCATAGCTAGTAGGCACAAAAGATTGTTGTTGCTTATTTTTTCTTTTTCTCTTTTGAAATTTCAAGTTTAAGATTTTTATTATAGGCCTGGCACGTATAGGGATATAATCTTTTATTTATTTATTTTTCTATTTCATACTTATCATTTATCTGTGATGAGAACACTTAAAATCTACTCCTTAAACATTTTTTGGGTAGATGGCATCATTATTAATTGTAGTCACTGCATGGTACTCTAGATCTCTTGAACTTATTCCTCCTAACTGAAATTTTTGACCAGTATTGTCCTATCCACCATGTCCCCCAAAGCTTATTTTTGTGCTCATGCTTAGTTTTGGGATTCCAAAAGACTTCTGAGGTTTGATTCCAAAGGATGAATTTGTAGAAATCACTAGAGCTCTGGGGAGCCTCCATTAATGAATCCAAATGTGGAAATGGAGGCAAAACAGAGAGCATTTAAAGCTATTTTTAACTTTCTTTTAATTTATAGAAGTAATTCCACTTGCAAAAAATGTCATGGTGGATACAATCTTAAAAGATTGTAATCTTAAAAGATTTCTTGTAGCCAGAAAACAAGTTGGTTCATTAATTCAGATTTGCTATCAGCAGTAACACTGTTGCCTATGGGCAATGTTGCATGAAAAATGTTCCTTTTTAAAAGTAAAGATCCACAAGCCGTTAAGGAAGACTGAACCCTTCATTCACTCCCATATAGTACATTGCTAAGAAATATTTATTCAGATATAAAAAAAACAGTTATCAGACCAGTTTTACTCTTAAACCTCTCATAAGCTCTTACATTAATAGAGACCTACTTTTATCCCTACCAACTATTCATGAGTTCATACTTTAATATCAGAACCGTTTTCAGGAATAGTCAATACGTATAACCTACAGGAGCCACTGAAGTGAAAAAAATTCCCACCCACATCTGTGCTTTGTTCCGTCGCGTCCCTTTGTTCTTGCTCTTCCTCTTTTCTTTTTGATACCACTGAGAGCCCATTGTTAGTTCATTCCACTCATACATTAAATCCCAAAACTTTTGGCTCATTATCTAAAGAGTCACTTCCAGAATATTAGGCTTACTGTGGCTATGCAATTAACTAAATTTGTGCCTTTCACTAAACAATATTAGTTTACGTTCATTGGCAAAGTTGTTTAAACAGTGATTATTCTTCAAAGACAAAAGTTTTTTAAAAAAATAATTCTAAAAGGAATTCAGTGATAGGAATGCTGGATGTCAAACAAACAGTTATTTTCCTTGAACTGTTTGTATCACCCACAATTTACTTTGGGTGATCAAATGTCTAGCCAATTCCAGCATGATTATGACCTGACTAAAAGCTTTGCTGGGTATCACTGCACGTCCTTGATCTTTTCTTTGGATAGGAGTATTGTTAATAAGCACAGAGCAACTCAATGATAAACTTGAAAGGCTTATGGTATAATTGTCAATTCTGCCTTACTCCTCCTTATGAAGAAAGTAAACTCCATAAATCATTCCAAGAAAAGGCCTCAGACTTTCTGAGAAGGTTTCAGCTGTAACATGGGCGTAGAGATTTTCCTCTTGGAAATAATCCTAATGGCAAAACAAGGTGCTATCTAGGAAGCCAGTGACAAAGCTAAGTGCTCAAGGCTCCAGAGCTAAAAATGAAGGCTATGGTTTTTTTCTTTTATTAGTTGCAAAGTACATACAGATCATCAGCCTCTCCACAAGTGACATTCATAGCTATGTAGAGAAAGACTATGACTACCACAGCCTCATTCTACTATTGCTCTGAGCCTCACTGATTTTTTACTTAGGCTTGCTTGGGCCACAGAACCATTTAGGTGAGTGTTTGAGATGAATAAAGTTATGTGTGGATCTCTAGAAATCTCTGATATTTTGTTCTTTGTTCTTCTCTTTCAAATATGAAGGACGTATTCTCTTATCTCTTGGAATAGCTCATAGGATTCAGGCTTCCAAATCTTCAGTAGCACTTTGCCAGGGATGATCAATATTTCTCTGTCCAAGTTTGGTCTTACAAAAATTCAGAGGTACAGAATGAGTTTCACCGCATGACTTCCATACTTCCTTTTACTTCTCCAAGTCCATGTCCTACTCCATCTTCCTACTACTAAGTGATTTTCAAAAAAGACACCCCAAACATACATTAGAGAAGAGATAGCCTCTTCAATAAATCGTACTGGGAAAACTGGATATTTATATGCAAAAGCATAAAATTGAACCTACATCTGTCTCAATACACATAAATCAGTATAAACTGTCAAACGCATAAGTGAAAGATCTTAAACTGTCAAACCAAATCAGCACACACTTCAATATATTGGTGTAGGCAATGACTTTTTTGGACAAAACTCTGAAAGCACACACACTAAAAACAAAGACAAATAAATTTATATCTAACTGATTATTATGAACAGCAAACAGCAGGTAGGCTGTACTTCTGACAAGGAATTAATATCTAGAATGAATGAAACAACAGCAAAAACCCAAATAATCTGATTTTAAATGGGCAAATAATCTGAATGATGTCAAAACTTTACTGTGATCGATATTTTCTTAGATTGTACAGAATGAATATTACCAAAAAAGTCAAACATAGCAGATATTAGAGAGGGTATGGAGAAAAAGAAAGCCTTACATATGCTTGATGAGAATGTAAATTAGTACAGTCATTATGGAGACTAGCATGAAAATTCCATAAAATTTTTTAAAAATTACATCGCCATGTAAACCAGGTATCCCACGTCTAAATGTATCTCCCAACAAAATGAAATCAGTTAAAATTGTACCTACACTCCCAGTTATAGTTCTGGTAACTGTAGAACTATTTATATGAGCAAAGATATGGACTCAACCAAGACGTGTAGCACATGCACAATGGGGATATTATTCAGCTATAAAAAATAATGATTTCTGTCATTTGTGGCAAGACAGATGAGACCAGAGGACATTATGTTAGGTGACATAGTGCGGTCACAGAAAGACGAATTTGGTATGATCTCACTCATAGATGGAGGACACAAAACTGACTTCAGAGAAGAAAGTACCACGGTGATGAGAGAGTCTGGGAAGGAAAAGTGAGTGGATAATGAAAAGAGTCTGAATCATGAGTTCAAAATACAGTTGGATAAGAGGGATAAATTGTGGCTCTCTGTAGCATGCTAACGCGGCTGCAGTTTACAGTTTTAACTTGCTATATGTTTTATATGAACTAGAAGAAGCTCTAAACCCAAAGGAATTATAAACATGTGAGTAGATGGAAATTGTAATTTTCATACTGTAATCATTACATATTTCTTACATATATTGAATTTCATTTGCATTACATAAAATACATTATAAATATATTATAGCTTACCTCATTGGCAGCTAAGAAAAGAACACTTGTCCTCTGTTAAACGCTAAACTTTGAGAGGAGAAACAACTTATCATTTAAAATTTTAGTTCAATGTTCTCAAAATGTTCTCCGCCACTTTCTCCTCAACAATCTGCCTTACCTGAGCATTTGCCAGCAAGGCAAATTCCCAGGCTTCACTCTAGTATTATAAAAGCAAACTCTAGGACTGGGGGAGAGTTTGTGGCTTAACTAGGTTTCCATGAAGTTCTGATGAATGTCACGTTTTCTGGATCACTATCTTTGTCAGCAAACAGGTGAGTACTAGATTCCTAGGGTGAGGTATGTGGGGTATGTAGAAACTCAAAGCTTAATTAAAGAGAAGAAAGTTTCACTGATGCATTTGTACCAGAATCTGAGCTATGAAAATGTGAGCTGCAGTGTTGATCTCTACGAAAGGATACTATCTAGATTACTTCATCAGTACTCAAATTCTTAAAACACCAGGGTTATATAGGCAGATGTAATATTCTATAATCACACAGAAGAGAGCAGTTCTACCTGGGAAGCTTAAGAAGGCTTTGAAAGAAGTATAAAACCCCATAATGGTTGAGGATTTACGTGCCGGGTACTTTTGAAGATCTTTGGGTATTTTATTTTAATTAACCTTTCACATATTTCTATCCTCCCATTTTCCAGAAATGGAACAGGTGCCCCACAAGGTAATCGCAAAAGTGGAATCCTTGTCTCCCACTGCACATGCGACTTGGACTAGTTCCTGAAGGCTGTGGTGTGGAAATGCAGAGAGACGGTGACAGGCCAACAATATTAGGTGAGGGACAGTGGGGACGTTGAATTTGGAAGTCTTAGGATAGTGAGGTATCCTGGGATAGAGCCATAAAAAATGGCTGAGTAGTATAATAAAGGAAGGACATTTGCATGTGGACTTTTCCCAGAAGGCAATGAGAAGCTGAGTGAAAAATGTATACATGGGTGAACTCTGAAGTATATACAGAAAGTGAAGTCTGAAAGTGAGTGGTATTCTTCCATTTTATTCTGTTTCTGCTTCTCAAATTGTTGACCTCTGTGCCCAAACTCTATACTGGCCCCGTGGGTCTGGGCCTCACTTTGTTCTAATTCTCCAGTTGGAATCCATCTAGAAAATTAGAAAATCCAAAGCAGTCCTATGACTCTCTGAGAATAGGTCTGTGTGGCTCAGTACCTTGAGATTTATGACCTTGTGGATTGAGGTTAAGGCAAAGAAAGAACGGAAACTGGACAGGAACGTGAGATTGAGCCAAGTAACTGAAACCTCAGGTTATGAATGGTATTATCCTTAGATTTCGCTGAGTTCATCTCCCAGCAGTCTTTTCATGAAGCAATACGTTTTATTGCTTTGTGTATGTAATCTCAAAAGCAGGTATTTAAAGCTTGGTAACAACATTTGAACAACTAAAGAACAGACAAATCACTTTAAATTAATAATACATGCACTTTTCATGTTTGGATAAAAATTCAGAAGGCTTTTAATTTTCTTGCTTCCCTTACTTTTTAAAAACACTTTCACCCTACCTTACTTCTATAAAAATTGCGAAGTAGAGCAATAATCCCTGTATGCACAGGCTATGGGGTGAGAAGGACATTTGAATGCTGATCTCATGATCTATTAGGCAGTACCATCCTGACTAAAGTACTCAATTTTTATTCTGCCATTTTATCATCATTTGTACATGTAGCTAAAAATACTATCTTTCTCATAAGGTTGCTCTCAATATTTAAATTAATAGAGCATTTAGAATTAGAATAATTGTCACTAAAGAATTTGGTCTTTATTTTTGTTAATATTTTAGCTAGAGTATAACTACACTTTTAACTACTCAAGACACTAAAATTCATTTAAAATGTATCAGTTCATATTAATTTAGCGATTCTTAATGAAATAACTTGGTAATGTATTATTTAAAATAGTTAGATTGTCTAAAAATGATTTATTAACTTTTAAAATTGTGCCTAAGTTAAAAACATTCATAGAAGTAAAAGTATTTCCTCTTTCAAAGCTATGATTAATCCTTTCTTATAGAATCTGTTGGTACAATAAATCTGGACATTACATCACTTTTAAAAAATCAGGGAAAACTACATGAAAAGAAATCACTACAGTACCTCAAGCATACAGGCGTTTATTGAATTTGCAGTGGGTTTTAGGAACTCAGAAGGGTGAGAATCAGAGGAATCTGGCATAAAATGGAGCTAGTATTCAGAAACTCACCTTATCGCCTTCTTCTACCTCACAGATTTTCTCCTCAGTTGCAGGATTAAAGACAGGAAATTTCTTGCCACTCACTGAATTATGCCATTCATTGTTTATGAAGATCTGTAGGAATATGAAGAAAGTAGATAAAAGAAGCATTTAATCAGGCAGTGCACTTTGCAAATGTTTATGCATTTGAACTGAAGCATTACACACTCTCGAAAAATTTGTCCCACTTCAAAATATTTGATTTTATCTTACATTTTTAGTGCAAACATATGTAATACAAGCATGTCTGTGCACTAAAAGAAAATAATAGTTTTAAAGTTCCATTAAGGTGTAGAAAATACAGGTTGCAGAAAACAACTTAGAAATTGGTGTATTTTAAATCAAGTAGCTCTTCATTTGAGGCCAGAGCAGAAGCTTTGTTGGGCAGGATCTTTATAAACTATTGCTCCTGTTATCCCTCCAAATTCTGAATATGCTCATTCCAGGATACCATGATTTGGTATGATGGCTTCTTTTCTTTTTTCTTTTCTTTTCTTTTCTTTTCTTTTCTTTTCTTTTCTTTTCTTTTCTTTTCTTTTCTTTTTTTCTTTTCTTTTCTTTTCTTTTCTTCTTTCCTTCCTTCCTTCCTTCCTTCCTTCCTTCCTTTTCTTTTTTGTACCAGGATCAAACTGAGGACCTTGTACTTGCAAACCAGGCACAGTGCCACTGAGCTAAATCACCAGTCCCATGACTGATTATTTTTGATACTTTAATTTGCTGTCCTAAAGGTAGCTTTGGAGTGGAATTTCATAAGAAATTTGCTTAGAAAAACTTGGCTAGTGGCCTGTTTTTTCATTGACCTTTAAATACATAAAGATTTAGTTTTCCTTTTCATCAGAGCACCTCCTAATTTATTTGTCTTTAGATGAGCTCAGGTACTCGATTGCTTGGTAATACCAATGAGAAATAGACATGTATCTAAAGTGCATCCAGAAAACTTGGAATTGTATTCTGGGTCCACTGTAACAGAACGGAAATGTTAAAAACCATCAATCTGGAATTTAAAATGACTGAATTTCAACTTATGCAGCTCTTCATTTCATTTCTTTGATAAACTATCTCTGACACTCGTTTCTTTTATTGGAGAAAAATAACTGTCTAAGCCGAATCAAAGAGCACCCATTTGTGATGAGTAAGTCTACGTCCCGTTTCTGACAAATATTGGTTTTTTTTTTTCACTTTTTATCTTTTTAGTTTTTATTTATTCTTTTATTATTATTGATATATGAAAGCAGTCATGAGTATTTATTGAATATTATGTATTGCAACTTTTTGTGAGTTTTATGAAAACGTGAAGTAGTTCATTTAACTTCAAATCCCAGGTAATTGAAAAATATAACTCTAAAAGAAGGTTATCTTACATACTGGGTTTATAACATATGTCTTACTTCAGATATCCATCCTTATTTTATATTTAAAGATAGGAATTCATTGTTCCATCTTGCATATATCAAAATACCATTTGGCCAGGTTTTAATCAGTAGCTATGCTAACAGAGCATCATAATTAGTAAAAGTATTCCAGGGATGTTTATCAAGATTTTGCATTCTGCACATAAGTACATTATGGTGTTCCTGATTTGCTGCAAAATGGGGTGGAGGACAAGCTTCCTTATTTACTTGTTCTCATCAATAAAATTACCCATACAACAAAACAACATCGTACTATCTCTGTGGGAGAGTTCAAACGAATGGCAGTGCCTACGTAAAATTAATTAGGAAAGCTTGTATGCATGAATGAGTAAAGGGAGATGGAGTCTAAGCAGTTCCAATGAAGAGACTAGATGTGGAAAGATAGAATTGTGAATGTACGAGAAAGAGTACCAAGCAAATCCTTGTTTCACTGACAGGGTGATTGAACGCAAATGAAAAGCACAAATTCATATTATTCCTCGAGAAGAGTAAAGTTGGCATCTTCATTCAAAGTGAAGAAAGGTAAACTTAAAATCTTGACTTATGAAGCATCTGTCAGAGTGAAACAATAAGCTATCAGGAACATTTTGCAGAGTCACATAATCATTCGTAAAGAATATTTTCTTTTTTTTCCTCATTGAGTTTATTGGTGCATTTTAGGTATACAGTACAGTTACATTCATTGTTGATTTTTTTTCCTCATTGAGTTTATTGGTGCATTTTAGGTATACAGTACAGTTACATTCATTGTTGGGATCTTGCACCTTTACATGACAGATGGTCTCGGTGCTCCTTTTTTCCCCTTGTCCCTGCCCTCCAAAGAATATTCTCTTATGTGTCTTTAGCCCTTATCACTTGGTATTTCTCTTCCCAGAGGATGACTGGAAAACACGCCAGTCAATGTGCCCCAGACTCAACTCAGTGTTATCTTTACATTTTGGTTGCTCTCACTCAAAACTAAAGTTCTAAAAAACTTTTTAATAAAGACTTCTACCCCCCACCCATCATCCCGGTTCACGTTTTCCACTCTCTCTACACACGTAATCCCTATTCACATTTTCATATCACTCTGTTCATTACTACTACTAGAATCTCCCTCACCTATCGAAGTTCACTTTTGTTCACCTGCCTCCCCAGTGCACGTCAGTGACTCCCCTCCTCAAGCTCCTTAGCATGGTGCTTGAGGCAGATTATAATTTGGTCCCCATATCCTTTCCCAATCCGTGGTCCGTCTGTTCCCTCACATTACCTTTTGTTTCCACCCTCATTCTACTGCCATTATTGCTATGCGCTTTATTGCTCCACACCTCTATTCATAAAGTTCCTCAAGTGAGAGTTTTCCTCTGCTTGAAACCTGGGCTTAATTTAGCTTCTCTTTATGGAGATTTCACTGTTGTTGCCAGCTGTATCTATTCTCTTCTCTCAAAAGAGTGTGCTGTTATATTCCATTACTAAATGGCTTATTAAGCTCTGTGTTGTGTTAAATTTAAACACACATGTATCATCCCATGAGATTCTAAACAAACAAACAAACAAACAAACAAAGACCTAAAGATATTACCTGCCTAGATTTTTCAAACTAGCCTTTCAAAGCTTGCATCAGATTCACATACTTGGTTAATACTGCCATCCCCCTACCCTCAAGATTGTATTATCTATCTTCAGACTTTACCTCTCTAAACTGAAAGAATGGTAAATCTCATTCTGTTAGAAATGTACTCAAAACTCTCCCCTTAGACAGTATAATTTCACTAAACAATAAAAAAGCAGCACACAGAATTGATTACATTTTGTGTGACTTTTGATGGGACTTTCCAGCTCTTACCTGAGTCCTTTTACCCTCAGGTCTGTGGTACACTTTTTGTGTATTTTGAATACTCAGTAATATGCTCTCTATACATCTTTTATTCCCTTCATCTAACCTTTTTTGTAGAAAGAAACATTACAATATGTATAGACTATTTGTATACCATTTTAGAATCAGACTCATGCATCTAAACTGTACATGATGGTCCTTCTTCAAAATAAAGTCAGTTGATGTTTTGTAGATCAGTATTAACCCAAAGTAAAAACACAGAATTATCTGGCAGCTTTCAGGCAACTGGAGAGACCAGCTACAGATAATCCTAAATTATCAGCCACTGCTCTGCATTATTCAGGTTTAACCTTTAACACGGGAGAACATTCTGAATCCAAGTGTTGTTTGAACTTGTGCTTAAATTTACATAATCCTGACTGGTCAGTTTCTTTTTTATTGGAAAAGTTTTTGTTAAGAAATGAGCAGACATTTGAGATGTACTGGAACATGCAGTGGAAGATCTGAGATACGTGTCAGGGCCCTGCCTCCAGGGGTGTACAACATAAGAGGCACTTGTATTTGTATTGAAATCAGCCAGTAAGGTTAAAGACTGTAGAATCAAATGGCCAAAGCAGTGCTCTAGTCAATACATTGTACAGTGAGATTTGTGGAAGAGAAGGAGAGGGCTGGACAATGTATTCTTGAAGTATAGAGTGGAATGAGATGGGTGGTGTCTTAGTTAATTTTCTCTCATTGCTGAGACAAGATATCCAACACCCAAAGTTAAAGAAGAACAAGTTTATTTGGCTCACAGTTTGTAAAAATTTCTGTCCATAATCTGCTGCCCCCACGTAAGGGTGGCACAATGGCAGAGGAGAACAATTCATGGCAGACCGAAGGTAGCAAAGAAAGTAAGGGATGGTAAATGCTTCTTTCTGCCCCTTTTATACTCTCTCTAGGCTACCGGCATTAGGGCAGTGCTAAACCAATCAGTGGACTGATTTAGTAATCACACATCCTTAATCTCAGGGTCACACACTTTAGATTCAGCCACCCCTGAAAAAGCCTCACCTATGACTGCATGAGGCCTTGGGAGACATGTAGACATAAACCCTAACAGGTGGTGAGAAGAAAAACTATGAGCAAAGAGAAAGACTTATCTGGGGATTTTGGCAACAAACGAAAGAGACTGACCACAAACAGAATTCTTTTGGAATCGAGGCATAGAAAAGTTCTGACAATGGAAATGCAGCAGTCTTGTACTGGATCTCAATCCCTTATGTAGGAAACTCGAATGAGATTCTGGATAAAATCCCATTTTCCATGCACAAAGGATTTCTTTTAAGATATTCCAAAGGAGAGGGAAGATATCGAGTGTCCTCGTACCTTTGCTATGTGGATTTCCAACCCTGAAAGGTGTGTTGACACAGGGAGAAGTGGGTGGGAGTAAGGTATGTTGTAAATCTTGCCTCAACCTTAAGAACCTAAAATAATATCAAAGAACATGGGGGAAAGGAGAAAAGGAGGAAAAAAAACCAGACAAAAGAAAAGGATGAATAAACAATAAGGAAGCCACAGAACACAGTTAGGTGGGGAGTTAAACCCACAAAAGAATCAAAGCTAGATCTCTGGCAGTGACTTCAAGCTCAAACCCTGAGGCAAAGCAAAATATTGAGTAGAAAACATTTTTATTTTTCAAAGAAGAAAAATGTAAAAGGAAATTAAAGAGGAAATAACAGATGGAAGAAAAATATTTAACTGTAGTCAGAGGAATACAAACAAAAGTGAATGCCTAAAACAAAAATAGGGGAAATACAATTTTCCTTACATTTCTTTTTTATACTTCAGTCTGAGTTAAGTAGTAT